CCGGGCCGGGTGGCGACGCCCCCGAGCCCCAGCCTCGGGCCCTGGAGTTTGCGCGCCGCCTGTGTGCTTGTCTGTCTTGCCGATCCCCACGACAACCCTGAGAAACAAAGGCTGTGTCAACCCCAGTTTCTAGGCAGGAAAACTGAGGCCCAGAGAGGCGAAGTCGCCTGCCCCGAGTCACGCAGTACACCAAAGAGGGTTGAACGTTCGCCCCCACGCCTTTGAGAGGGGAGATCCCTCTCCTACCCCAAGGCGCTCTGGGGGGTCGTTCAGAACGGACGCTGGGCGGTGAGCGCGCAGAGCCTCAACACTTCTGCGGGGCGGGGACCTTACGCAAGGGGAAGATGGGGACAGGATGTGCTTGGAGGTGCCAGACCACACACTGAGCGTCTCAGAGCACAGCGATTCGTCAGGGGCCCTCCCTTCCTCGCTGTGGGCCCGGCATCCTCCACCCTCGACGGGTTTGGAGGTCACCCTGGCCTTCCCCATCCTGAAAGGCCAGTCTCCCAAATGGCTGCTCCTCCAATCAAGATGTCCTTTCTACAGACAGCAGGCTCCTTCCTAGGGTGTGCGCGACTGGCAGATGAGAGGAATCCATGGAAGCAGTCAGTGGTCCCCTAAAGGCTCCAAACTGGTCGGGTAAGGGAAGTGAAAGACTTTCACATGGGCTGGAGGTGAGGTGTTGCAGTCTCCCAACCACTGTCTAGTTGTCACCATGTGAAGGGGCAGTTTCCCCCTTCACATCTGCACATTAGCAGAGCGCTCTGTCACTCTTCGAGTGTAACTCACTGTGCAAGATAGTTATTTCTTAACAGACGATTCTGGGGCCCACAGAGGGGAAGTCTCCAGACACCCAGAGCTGTGCTGTTTCCATTATGACAGTGCAGCTGACTCTACCCACTCCCCAACCCCCAGATTTCTCTTCCCCTTTCCTCCTCCAGGAAGTCAGGGTGTGGCAACTCAAAGCCCCCAAGGCTCCACAGCCCAGTGTCCACATATGGGCTATATGAGGAATCCCCACCTCACCTACACTCCATAGCCCAGGCACACACCCAGTGGGCCCCACTTCCTCCCAGCAGCCAGCCCTGCCCCCTTGGGAATTCCTCCTCTCAAGGAAGAGGGCTCTTGAGGCAGGGAGCTGTGCCCAGTACCCACTCCCTCAATGACTCAGTTCCAGACCAGCGTGGGGGCTAATTTACTGAACCCACTGTGTGTGCCAGGCCCACACTGGGCACAGGAGCACAGCTTGTCTCGCTACTACAGATGAGTGAGGCTCCTGCCCACTGAGTACCCCCTGCAGGAATGGTAGAAGTTCTGGTGGATGGTGCTTGATCCAGCTGACCAAAGGGTAGGGACAAAGTCAGAGAAAGTTCCCAAAGGACTTCTCAGCTGAGACCTGTCATGGGGACAGAAATGTACCAGGGATCCAAGATGGGGCAGGCCCAATTCAGTCTCTGTGACTACCTCCTAATCCCCACCATTTGACAGCTCAGAGGTGTTTAAAGTCTAAACTTGTCCTCTGAGACCAGTAGTTTCACGTTACCTTGAGCTTTGATTGTGCCAGTGCACCCTAGCCTGGGTGATAGAGTGAGACCCTGATTAAAAACAAAAAACAAAAAAACTAAAATTGGAAGATACAAAGCAAACACTCTATTCCCCAAACCACTGTCTTAGACTCACTTGGGTAAGGTGAAAGTCCTGTTCTAAGATGTTTTCACAGAAGCTCTGGCCAGCCAGATATCACAGGTGGTCTGTTGCCTAGCTTGGTCATTTCATGTTTTCAGAGCCATGTGGAGTCCTATGATAACCCCATCCTCTCTGTTCCAAGGTGGTCCAAGTGTTCCTTCAGTGCCACCAGGCTCTTCTGGCTTCCTAGGCTCCTGAGCACCTCCGCTCTTGCCTGGACCTTAAGCCTGACTCTCTTGCTTTACTCCCTCGTTTTGCTGAAGCACATCCTTTAAGAACTTTCTAAGAAAGGATGACTGGGAGATAATTTCCTGGATCACTGCAAGTCTGAAAAGGTTTGTATTCTGCCTTTGCTTTTTCATATTTTATTTTTCCCATCTACTTATATATTGTCTATTGCCTTTGCTTTTTTTTCTTTTTTAAAATAATTCAGTATAGACCAAGAATGTGTCTCCCTGCCTTTGCTTTGCCTGCTGTTTGGGCTCACAATTCTGACTGTTCTGTTCATTGTCTTTTGGCTGCCACTACTACTGCTGTAGTCCAGTGCCCTTCTCATTCTCAGAACTGTGAATTGGCCAATGTTTGCTTTTTTTTCTTTTCCTTTCCTGTCTCTGGAAGCTTCTGGGCTCTTCTGTCTCTGGTGTCTGCAACTGCAAGTGAGATTCCTTGGGGTGGGCCTGTCTTTATTCCTGAGCTGGGCCCTCCCTGGGGCCATGTGACTCGTTTCTCCATTGACATCCTTCTCCAAACTGCTCAGATGAACCCAAGCCGTCCCCCTCTGGCCGGAACCCTCTCCTGAGCTAGGTTGGCCAACACATGAGGAATGGAAGGTGGGGGAGGAACAAGCCTAGAAAAAGGAAAAATGTTTTTCGCCTACATTTTTTTCATAATTAAAAGGTTTTATTAAGTCCTATATCTGTTCTTTAACAAGATTTACTTCAGATTTAATTTAATATATATATTTTTGAGTCAGAGTCCCACTCTGTTGCCCAGGGTGGAATGCAGTGGAATGATCATGGCCACCACTGCAGCCTCTACCTGCTGAGTTCAGGACTTCCTTCCACCTCAGCCTTCCAAGTAGCTGAAATCACAGACACACACCAACATGCCCAGCTAATTTTTTTATTTTTTGTAGAAACGAGGTCTCACCAAGTTGACCAGACTGATCTCTAACCCCTGGGCTCAGGCAATCCTTTCACCTCCACCTCCCAAAATGCTGGGATTATAGATGGGAGCCACTGTGCCTGGCTTAATTTTTTAAATTTATTTTTATTTTTTTGAGTTGGAGTCTCATGCCGTTGCTCAGTCTAGAGTGCAGTGGCACGCTCACGGCCACCTCAGCGTCAACCTGCTGGGCTCCAGCGATCCTTCCACCTCAGCCTTCCAAGTAGCTGGAACTACAGGTGTGCACTACCATGCCCGGTTAATTTTTTGATTTATTGTAGAGACGAGGTCTTATTATGTTGCCCAGACTGGTCTCGAACCCGTGGTCTTAGGCAATTCTCTCGCCTTGGCCTCCCAAAGTGCTAGGATTACAGGCTTAAGCCATTGCACCTGACCAATTTTTAAAATTTAAGACTTTCATATGACTCAAAATTCCAAAGATGTAAAAGTGTATTTAATAGCAAGTCTCCCCCACCACCCATACCCTGGCCACCCAGTTCCTCTCCCCAGAGACAGCCAATATTACTAATTTCTTGGGGATCCTTCCTGAAATGTCAGGGATATTCTGTACAAATTCAAGGGAAAACAATTATATATATGTATACTTTTGTATATATGAAATATTTCTTTCCCTCTCCCTTTACATGAATGATAGAGTACTTCATGGCCATATTCTGCTCCTGAAGTTTTCATCTAAGAGTCCCTGATCATTTTGCATTAGTCCTTGAAGAGATGCCTTGTTCCTTATTGGGGCTAGAGGGCAGTCTCTGTGCAAATGTGTGCATTTTATGTTGCTAGTTCTCCCAGTGGGACATTTAGATTGTTTTTAAGTTTTTACTTCACAATTTTTTTGTGTGCACACATTGGTAGGATCGTTTCCTAGTAATGAACTGTTGAGTCAAAGGCATTCATTGTTCACAGCAGCACTATATTCACAATAGCCAAAAGGTGGAAACAACCCAATCGTGCATCATCAGAGAAATAGATAAACAAATAGTGGTATACATATTCAATGAAATATTATTCAGTCATAAAAAGGACTACAGCACGTGCCTGTAGTTCCAGCTACTTGGAAGGCTGAGGCGGAAGAATTGCTGGAGCCCAGCAGGTCAAGGCTGCAGTGACCAGGAACGTGCCACTGCACTCCAGTCTGGGTGACAGAGTGAGACTCCAACTCAAAAAAAAAAAGGACTACAATGCTGATATGTGCTACAATGCAGATGAACCTAAAAAATATTAAGCAGGCTGGGTGCGGTGGCTCAGCCTGTAATCCCAGCACTTTGGGAGGCAAAGGCGAGAGGATTGCCTAAGCCCGGGGGTTCGAGACCAGCCTGGGCAACTTGGTGAGCCCTCATCTCTACAATAAATCACACACACACACAAATTAGCCAGGCGTGGTGGCATGCGTCTGCAGTTCCAGCTATT